AAGCATTAGTATGCGTTATACTACGAAACAAAAATACTAAGAGCCGAATGCGTGCAAAGCCGTGCCATCTGCTCCTGATTCATATCGGATACTTCTGTTGCCATCCGTTGCCTTCATTATGCGCGCCCGGGCGGCCGGTTGAATGCTCTTCGCTCGAGTGAGGCTCAATTTAGTCCCCAGGTATCTCAGAAAACAAAGAGAGCTATAGACACAAAATCCACAGGGTGTGGTGGCTTGTACGTGAGCGCACCTGGATCAAAACTTTTGGTCACTTGATTATGACTTTCTGGCCAAATAAGGTGAAGCAAGGTCAAACTCCGGATTGGTGCCAAAGTGCCCCCCGACCTTCTCATGCAATCACCATGAACGTAGATACCTGTTTTAAACAAGAGGTCAGTTGTGCCCATTTGAGGCCACTTACCTTATATGACCTTTCGCAGGTCACGGGGACCAAAAACATACAAGACTGCTTGTATTTTTACACGTGAATACGCGATCAGGACTATGCTAGGCAATGTGCTGCTGAAAACGAAATGTTGAACTAGGTCATTTGAGGTCAGTGATCTATTTTGACCTTTAGGAAGTCTATGTAAGATGTTTAATGTGGTTCCTGTGATCAACAAATTCCATATAAGCAACAAAACTTACCCTACACAGCAAGCTCTAAAATAAAAAAGGAAATCTTAAACGGGGTGTTCCAGATTTGTAGGGGGTTTGAGTTGAAATAGTCATTAGAAGTCAATAAGAGTCATTAGGAGTCAATCAAATAGTCATTAGGAGTCAATAGACATTTGAAGATCATTCGGCGCAGTTCAAACCCTGCTCTTCCGAAGACTGAAAGCCCTCTATCTTCTGAGCTGTGCGCCCACGACGATGTACAAACGCTTTCGTGCAGACCATTTTAGTGTCATTCAGGCATGAATGATATCATAGCAATGCTATTGAAATTCTGCCAAACCATAAAACAAGCGGGGATCAAAACCCAAAAAAAATGTTATCGCTGCGCCGTTCAGATCTTGCTTTCGTGAGGATCATTTGCTAACACAGTGGACAATAATTGGCTCTCGATCAATGTTAAGCAGCCTGTGCAAGTTTCATTAACAAATCTCGTTTTGCGCCACGTAATATAAGAATTTTAAAATGGTTGCTCGTTATTGCCGAAAGATGACCTGTAATCTATGTAATCAGGTAAAAATGCAATCAGCTAAATGCAAATGCAGTCGATTAACAACTGTTCTGTGCAAATAATTTGAGACTAAACATAAATGAACGGAAACGGGTGAGTGAAAAGTTAATGGGCATGGGACTGGCAGAGATATTTGAACAAGAAATAAAATGCACGTTCCAAAACAACCCAAATTGGAATTTACACGGGCAGGCTTAGTACATTAGCATTTTCCACAATTGCACTTATTTGGGGACGGGTTTACAAAAACTGACTCGGAAGGGGCGTTTGCACATGAGCCTGGGGGCATGTCCCCTCCCCTCCAAACCAAAGAACGATTGGGTACGCCCGAGTAGGTGAACAGATGGGGTCCCGACAAGAGTATAGGGACCTTCATTCAAATAAGAAATACGCACGTCACAATGTAGAGGGCCCCCGAACGAATGAGTGCGTCAGAGCAGGTTAACAGACAGGGTCCCGGATAAAAGCGTAAGGACCTCCATTGGCATATGATGGGAAGTGCCCTAAGCCCAGGATGGAGGGCTCCCGAAAGATCGAGTGTACCCGAGCATGCCTATCAGATGACCCCCAACAGAAGCACAGGGACCTACATTCAAATAACAAAACGGGGACCCGCGCAGGGCCTCCGAAAGATCAGGTGTGCCCGAGCAGGTTACCAGATGGAGCCCCCAGGAAGTGCATAGGGCCCTCCATCTAAATAGCAAGTACCCAAGACCCAATGCGGAGGGCTCCAAAAGGCCGAGTGTGCTCAATCTGGTTGAAAGATGGTCCCTGGACAAGGGGGTAGGGCCCTAAGCAAGTGCCAGATAATTAGAAGGGCCCTATACCAATGCACAGGGCCCATGAGCTTATCATGGGTACGCCGGTAGGTTAACCGAGACCAACGTGAAGGACCCCAAAGCAACAGAGCAACGGAATACCCTGGTAGCTTAACACGCGCTCGGGTGGGGGTCAATTTGCCCCCTCCTCAAAGGTTTTTCCTGAATGGTTTCCAAACGGCACGGTGTAGCTGCATCAAATTTTGTTTATCTGTAGACAATTAAGTAGTGGGTCGTTTCGTATTAAAAATTTCGATGTAGCTTGTAAGGCTGCTGACACACCCTGGAAACAGCGTAGGGGGTCTGGACAGCGTAATGAGCTCTAAAACCTCTCAATTGCCGCCCTCTCAATTAGTGAAGAATAATTTGTGTCTACTCGTGGGCCCTTCACTTTCGCTAGTGAAAGTTCTAGGTCGCCTGGAACCGAAAAGACGTCTAATTTTGTTGCGTTTGTCTAAAAAACTTCGTTTTTTCGGCCGACTACGGACCTATGCGGAGCCTATAGGTACTTTCTGGGCCCTAAGGAGGGGGAAGGGTATAGCCCGTGCCCCCCACCCTCTGCACCTTCCCGTGCTTGGATCATGATGCTGTCGGCAAATTTGTTTTTTTGTTTTGGGCGTTTTTTGGTGGCATTTGACGGAACCCAAGGGCACCATATTATAGACAATATTAGCTAGCTACCATGGCGCATGGATTAGTGGAGGCTCCTTGCTGGTTAGTTCCATAAGCTGAGAGCACGGGTTGGCTGTAAGCTGATATCTGACGGTTTCGGGCGTTTTGGTGACCTTTAGCCTGGTCCAAGCTCACCATTTTCCGAGGAGAACAAATTATTGACCAAGTGACACCGAGCAGTGCAGGTTTAGTTTCAATCAGCCTTACAGGCTTCACGCATTGGATTGCTAATAGTTCTGTTCGGTCGTTTAGCCTCTTTCCATTTTAGTACTCAGCTGGGTGCTGTGTTGTTTCATTTCAAATACGGCGCACAAAAGACAGGACTGAAGGTAAACATACCATTCGCAGATATCGGAATTGTAACTGAAGAGTGACGGGAATACGTGTGTCTGATCAAGATAGATAACAGGTCGTTTTAGCCTGGAAGAATCCGGATTTTCTGGGCTGTGTATGTAGCTTGTCCACATTTAAATCACGATGGTAGATGAGCCTTTGCTTCCAGTGACTGAAGAGAATGCATATGAGTCGGGATCCTCAACGTAAAGGGTAATTATGTTTTCAAACGTATGTTTTTGCGTCCCCATAGCGTAGTTTTTCTCACCTTCAGGTTAGGCACATGCTCAATTCCCATTGTTCCATGCAAGCAAAACATGTGAAAATAGTAAATGTGCTCACTTAACCCATAGTTGTGAGTCACATGCAAGTAAAAGGGCAGGATTTGGTGTACAGGACTGCCCTGATCTGCCCGGCCTACTACTTCATTGACCTAGGACACAAGGACCTTTGTTTTGTTTTGCAAAACAAGCCTATGGGCAGTGTTTTCTTCTACCATTATTGCAATACATTGGTGAGGAATGAAAGTTACCTAACAAGACTTGATAAAAGCAAGAATGACATTAATTTATTGGCTTTTCAGCATTATGAGTTTAGAATTGGCACAGCATGTGTCATCCTCATTACAAATTTGCAGATTAACCACCCTTTTTTGTGCAGCCAAATGCATAGGACTGTATCTTGGGCTGTCTGGATGTGTAATCTTGTGTCTGGTATCTGGTATCTGGATGAGTAAGCTTGGATGGGTCATGATTTACCATCTTTTACAGACATTGTGTGCACAGATTTCCAATCATCACATTTTATAGACTCACATGTCCTAGCTCTTAATGTATTTTCCATTATCATTGTTCACTTATCACAAGCACAGCTTGAAGTGCTGAGCATTATTATTGTAGGAAATGTTTACCTGGTCTTGTTAAAACGGTAGCTTCCAATATATTGAAGGGTGATAACTGTCAGCATAAGATCCCGGACTCATAAGTAAGTGAAAGACAGCTATTCAAAGTTAGCAGCAACACAATTTAATGCTGAACGGAACATTCTGTGCAGAGACATGTCAGAACAGAATCAGAGATGTCTATGCTTATTTGTTGTGTATTAGACTATGCACAGTGGTGTGGAAGATATATGAAAGTATTTTGTATTCTTTCTTAATGTCAAAAGTAATGCTGCCACATTTTTTACATTCCAGTTCTAGTTCCAGTTGACTTCCATACTAGCAGTGCTCCTAAGCATGGTATGCTCATTGTTTCCCTAATATACCTATGGTGTAGATTTTAAATATTGTGAATGCTAACATGTGATTTTTGCACAGAACCTCTACAGAACTAGCTCTGAAGATATGCATGGTTTATGCCTGTGGTACAGTGTATGCTGCCAGGACTGTAATACCTCTGGTAGTTCCGGAGGTTGCCAAGGAATTAGAATGGAGCAGCATTCTTGTTGGTTATGTCCTCTCTTTTTTCTTCTGGGGATATGCACTCACTCAGGTAAGATTTTGTTTTTTTTGTGTTAACAACCTCTCTTAAGACTGAGACATGCTGCTTGCTGTTAGATCATCTTTAGTGTCTGGCAAGAGGCATTATTGGCTGGGCAGGGCCTGAATATGTATGCCCTTTTGGGGGCCATGTTATAGAATGTGTTTTTGCCCTTGAGCTGCCCTAGTTCCTCCATAAAATGTCTTGCAGCTGCCTTTCTTTATCAGAAAATTTTAAGTACTTTTAAGTACTTTTAAGTACTTTTAAGTACTTTTAAGACTTGAGGCACAACAGAGCCCATCACCATTTAGAGAGTCATGTTTTATTTCTATAGTGATGTTCAGAAATAAAGCAGTTTTTGTGCGGGTTTGAGGTGCAGGGATACACACATCAGTTGTGGTGCTCTGTCATGCTCCATCTTAACCACACATTACATTGTGACACTGCTTGCTGCTGCTCCTCCAGGTGCTTGGAGGCCTGATGGCTGACCGGGTGGGTGGTGCTCGCATCATGGTGGCCATGTCGACAGTAGGTGCCGTCAGCCTGCTGCTCTTCCCACCGCTGGTCTCCATCTGGCCACAGGCTGCCATCCTGCTCCGCTGCCTGCTTGGCCTGGTCCAGGTCAGTGTCTCGTCCAGGTCAAGAACCTGTCCAGGTCAGTGCCTCATTCAGGTTAGTGTCCTGTCCAGGCCAATGTCTCATCCAAGTCAGTGTCTTCTCCAGGTCAGTGTCTCATGCAGGTTAATGTCCCATCCAGGTCAGGGCACATCCAGGACCTCGTGCAGGACGCAGGACCGTCGGTCTGGGACGTCGTCCAGGCCTGCACACCAGTGCCCTTTTCTAGTTTGCATGCCAATTTATTTGGTATTGCTCAATAAATCTTGGGTACACAATGGCCTATTTCGCCTTGGAAACGAACGCATTTTCTCCAGTATGCTCAGCGGCTGTTGTATCCCTGTTATGTGTGCAGTTCTCGCACTACCCTGGCTGTGTTGTGCGCGGCGCTCTGTCTGTCCATGTTCATCCCTGTGGGTGCACCACTGCCCCTGCTGCACATCCATGTATTCACGTATTCGGGCACTCCTTAAACTCCAAACATCGCTACTTATTACTGTTGTGTCTGCAGGGTCCCCACTGCTCCTGTGATGTCTGCAAAACCCTTACTTCTGTAGTTATGATGGCAGTACCGTCACCACCCCCGTTACATCCGCTGCGCCGTCCCCGCCCCTGTCACGTCCGCGGGGCTGTGCTCGCCCCTCTCGTGTTCGTGGGGTCGTCCCCGCCCCTGTCATGTCCGCAGCGCCGTCACCACCCCCCGCCTCCGGCAGGGCCCTCACTACCCGAGCCTGGGCAGCCTGAGCAGTCAGCTGGTGCCGGCGCCGCGTCGTCCGCTGTTCTTCAGCACGGCCTTGCTGGGCTCGCCGCTCGGCACCATCCTGGTCGGTCTGGTGGGCTCCGTTCTGCTGGAGGGGCTCGGCTGGCGGGCCGTCGTCACGCTCACTGGTGAGAGAGTTCTCACCAGCGACAGGGCGCATACTGGTGAGAGAGCTTCTCACCAGCGAGAGGGCTCTCCACCGGCTGCTTTCTTTGCTTGTGCGCCCATTACACCGATGTCTGCCTGAAGTTGGGTATGGCCGTACTCCGTTTAACGGCGTCACGGAGATGTGCCTGTACTCCGTGTAACGGCATCACAGGGGTGTGCCTGTACTTCGTCTAACGGCATCGCAGGGGTGTGCCTGTACTCCCTGTAACGGCATCACAGGGGTGTGCCTGTACTCCATTAAACGGCATCACAGGGGTGTGCCTGTACTTCGTGTAACGGCATCACAGGGGCATGCCTGTAACGGCGTCGCAGGGGTGTGCTTGTACTCCGTTAAACGGCATCACAGGGGTGTGCCTGCACTCCGTGTAACGGCATCACAGGGGTGTGCCTGTACTCCGTTAAACGGCATCACAGGGGTGTGCCTGTACTTCGTCGAACGGCATCACAGGGGCGTGCCTGTACTCCCTGTAACGGCGTCGCTGGGGTGTCGCCGCCAGGCCTGCTGTACGCCAGTTCGGCGCTCTGGCTGTACGTGCTGACGCGGGGCCAGGGCGTCCCGGCCAGAGCGGCCGCCGGCGCGTCCGCGGCTGTGCCCTGGCGTGGCCTGCTCTCCAGCGGGCGGGTCTGGTGAGCCGACCTCCCCTTGCCCCCCCCCCCCCTCGCGTGGTCCACTGTGTCCGTCCCACTGCACTCAACCGCGCTCCCGTCGTGAAAAGCAGTGGGGTGGGGGTTGACCACGACTGGTGGTCAGGAGCTCCTGGTTTGGTTCGGTGTAGCCTGCGTTGAGTCTGTCGTAGCTGTGGCGGCCGCTTCGCTACAGATGGCCGCGTGTTGTCGTAGTGGCTGTATACTGTCGCCACCCCTGCACGCTCCTCTCCCGCGTCGTCTGGCGCTCAATCCACCCATGTTTCATCACGTGCGCGGACCACACGCCCGCGTCCCCGCAAGTTGGCCGGTGCTTGTCCCCGTAGCGCGCGCGGCACTCCGCCGGGTGCGGCGCGTGCCCTCCCCAGCCGGGAGGGCCGACGGCCGCGGCCCGCGCTGCCCAGCGACTGAGTGCCGTCCGCCGCCGCCAGGGCTTGTATTCTGGCGCACATGTCGCACACCACCGCCCGGTTCCTGCTCATCTCCTGGCTGCCGTCAGGGCGTGTATCCTGGCTCACATGTCGCACACCACCGCCCGGTTCCTGCTCATCTCCTGGCTGCCGTCAGGGCGTGTATCCTGGCGCACATGTCGCACACCACCGCCTGGTTCCTGCTCATCTCCTGGCTGCCGTCGTACTTTCAACGCGTCCACCCGCAGGCGGAGGTAATCAGCGGTTGCGTCCACCGGTGGCGTGGGTAGTCGGGGTAGTGTGCACGTGCTGGCTCCGAGGCGATCGGGGGCCGCGGTGGCAGGAGTAGTTGGGCGCGCAGTCTGCAGTGGTTGCGTGCGCCTCTGACCAGGGTAATTGGGGTAGCGTGCATGTGCTTGCAGAGGTAATGGGAGTTGTGTTCCCTCGTTTGTGGATGTATGGGTGCTGCTGCTGCCGTGCTGCTTTCGGGTTCGTTTTAGGTCAGGTCAGGTCAGGTCATATCTGATTCAGCCGCGAAAAAATGCTGCGACGTGCAGAGATTGCAAATGAACTTGATGGTCGCATGCATCGATGAACTGTAGCCTGTTTTCGCTGTCCGTTGTGTGTTCACTGTCACTCTGTTGTCATGCATGCTCAGCTCGTCGTGGCATTTTGTCGAGGAGGTCCAATGCCTCGCAATCTTAAGTTGTGGAGTGCATTTGCGAGGTTCATTCTGCGTATAGATGAAACAGCATTAATTACATTATTCCTCGTAGAATTAGCAGGGGAATGGAGAGACATGTGCGATATTTCACTTGCATGCCTTTATCGAAACGAATGTTCGTTTTGATAACGGCATGTAGCCGAAATATGACACTTATCTCTCCATTCTCCGGTTTATTCGACAAGGATTAAGGCTACTAATACGGTCGCCTCGTGATCCAATCAAACAAGCCTTCACTTTCTCCTCGGGTAAAGTTTTAATATTTCTTTTGATTTGGTGTGACGTCCTGTACAATGTTTTCTCATTTCATGTGTGGGCTTTATCGAAATCCTCGGCTGTTGAAGCGCGTTGCCTGTCCGAGTTTGGCTCCCTTTGACCCAGGGTGACCTGACACCCTGCCTGGCAGCCTTCCGAGCGCGGCTGGGTGTCCTGACACCCTAGCTTGGCCCGAATAACTGGTCGGGTGTCACTTAACACTCTTTCCCGGTATCACGTGCCCCTCTCCGGTGTCACCCGACTCCCCATCCCGGTGCCGCCTGACTCCCTTCCCGCGCATTACCTAACCTGGCCGGGTGCCACACGACCTTCCCAGCTGCCACCTGACACCACTTTTGGGCGTCACATTACACCCACCGGCGTCACCTGACGCCCCGTGCCGGTGCAGGGCTGGCTGGTGAACACGCTGCCGTTCGTGTTGAACGGCGCCGGCACGATGACGTCCGTGCCGCTGGCCGCCTGGCTGCTGCGACACCAGTTCAGCGTCACCGCCACCCGCAAGCTCGTCGAGGTCGGGTCGCAGCTGATTGCCGGCGCCGCGATGCTCGCGCTGCGTGAGTGCTGCGCCGCGGCCGCCGCGAGGGGCGCGATGGAGAAGGAGCTCGCCGTGGCGCAGGCACCCGTCCCCAGAACAGGGGTCTGCCTGTGTTGGGGTCGTAGTACTGGCCTAGGGATAGGGATCTGCCTTTGTCGGGGCCGTAGCACTAGCTTAGGGATAGGGATCTGCCTGTGTTGGGGTCGTAGTACTGGCCCAGGGATAGGGATCTGCGTGTGTCGGGGCCGTAGCACTGGTCTAGGGATAGGGATCTGCCTGTGTTGGGGCCGCGGGACTGGCCGAAATAGCAGCTCCAGAACAGAAACCGTGGCGGGTGGTTGGGTTCGAGGCTCTTCAGCGTCCGCTGTTTTCCGCTGACGGGGGTGGCTTGTGGCTGGTGGCAGCAGCCGCTGACAGCTTCATGACCCGTCGCTCTCTGTGCCCCGCCCCCTCCCCCTTCCTCCTCCCCCCCTCTCCCTCCCGTTCCGTGCCGACTCAGGCTTCGACTGTAGCGGCTCGGTGCTGACGTGACCTGTCATGTGACGTCACGCGGCCTGGTGACCTTAAGTCTGACCTGACCTGTGCCCGGCCGCCGCCGCCAGCGCGCGTCAGCTCCAGCGCCGCCGCTGTGCTGTTGACGTCGCTGTCGGCCGGCGCCGTGTCGCTGCACGCCAACGGAGGCCTGGCGCTGCCGCAGGACCTCTGTCCGCAGCACGTGGGCGCCCTGTTCGGCCTCATGAACACCGGTGGAGCCCTGGCAGGTAGTGGCTAGTTCCTCACCGACGAGGGCGTATGCCGGACGGCACTGGTGGGGAATGCGAGGGGCGGGGGGGGGGGAGGAGGTACAACTGAAGGGTTTTCACCGAAACCCGAGTGTAGCGCGCCGCAGGCTGCTGAAGTTTCTGGTGTGTTCTTAAGTAGTGTCGCATGTTCGCGATCTTCTTATTTGAACCCGTGACGACCCGTGACGCCCTGATTAGAAAAGAATCATGTTTTCCATGTATGTCAACGTTGTCTTTCGTATATATTAATGTGCGTCATAATTTCTGTAGAGAAGGGGGGGGGGGGGGGGGGGTTGTCGTGCCCTTTGGAAGCTACTGTGTGCATAAGACCCTGTTAACCAACATAATTATCCCATCGACCTGAGACTATGCGGTCTCTAGCGGACGCAAAATGACCACGTAGTCGCCGCATTAGCACTAACGTCATCACCTTCACCCACTATCATCACCATCACCGCCGGGAGGCTGTGCTGGCCGTTTGATGTCGCGCTGCGCCCCCGCGCCGTTACACTGTGGTGGCTTCACGCGGCGTTAGTGTGAGCCGGCGCCGGCAGCGGCCCGGTCGTAACCCGGCGCCGGCGGCCCGGGCACCACCGGTCGTGACCCGGCACCCGCCGGCGGCCCGGACACCACCGGTCGTGACCCGGCACCCGCCGGCGGCCCGGACACCACCGGTCGTGACCCGGCGCCGGCGGCCCGGACACCACCGGCCGTGACCCGGCGCGTCCGCCGCAGGCTTTCTCTCCAACCTGGCGGCCGGCTACCTGCTGGAGCTGCACGGCGACTTCGAGGCGGTGTTCCACATGGTGGGCGGCCTGGCACTGGCCGGGGCTCTGGTGTTCGCCGTCTTCGGCTCGGCCGAGCGGCTCAAGCTCTGATCAGTCTGCAGCCGTGATCAGTCTGCAGCCGTGATCAGTCTGCTGCCGTGATCAGTCTGCAGCCGTGATCAGTTTGCAGCCGTGGCCAGTCTGCAGCCGTGATCAGTCTGCAGCCGTGATCAGCTTGCAGCCGTGGCCAGTCTGCAGCCGTGATCAGTCTGCAGCCGTGATCAGTTTGCAGCCGTGGCCAGTCTGCAGCCGTGGTCAGTCCGTGATCAGTCTGCAGGTGTGATCAGTCTACAGCTGTGCTCAGTCTGCAGACGCGGCACTCCACCAGCGATCCCCTCCCGTCGTGCACCGCTGTCATTCCCCGCGTGGTCTCACGCTGCCGCGATCCCGGCGGACGGGGCATATGACCACCTCAAAGCCTCGCGCGCGGGTTCCAATGTAGGCTCCTTGCCGTGGAGAGTTTTCCGTCCGACAGAAGTGCTTCTGAGACGTGCCTCAGTGGTCTATATCTAGCTATTGTTACACAACGGGTGTGTTCGACCTGGGCGGTTATGTGCGTGGGTGTGGTAGGGGTGGGACGCTCTGTGGTGATGTGGGTGGCATGGGTTTGGGACGTTCTGTGATGCTGTGAGTGGCATGGGTTTGGGACGTTCTGTGATGATGTGAGTGGCATGGGTTTGGGACGTTCTGTGATGCTGTGAGTGGCATGGGTTTGGGACGTTCTGTGATGCTGTGAGTGACATGGGCTTGGGACGTTTCACGATGTGCGAGATTCGTGTTCAGAGCGCGTGATTTCACAGTCTTGTTTCGAGCGTGACGCATTGGGATGTGACGCTTGCGACGATGACTGCGGCTTTGGCCGGGTTCCCCCGGGGACCAGGACCAGGGAGTTCTGCCGAGGACCAGGAGTCGCGCCCGAAGCTCTCCGCGGACCGCTGTCTCCTGGGCTCCGCGGGTCTCCGATCACCGTTGCTGACGTCACGGACACCAGCTGGCGCCAAGCCGTGTCATCCTGAAATGTTCTAGTCAGCCCCCGGGTCAGACTGCGCACAGGCCATTGGCCGCAAGGCGCCGCGCTCGGCTGTGTCAGTGGTGGTGGAACCGTCGCGTTCAAGACGCGCCCATAGATGTGAACAGTGTGTGTCTTGCCGCAATTGTGCGACGCTTCGGGTGCTTTTTCTATTGGAACGAACAAGGTTAGGGTAGAATACAAGCATCTTATTGTGTCGATGTTTCTGGTTGTTTGTCTCTGTATTTGCGCGTACCGTAGATAGGCTACACCAACATGGTTGTACATCCGCTGGGCGTTGTGGCCGTTCGATTCGCTCGGCTTTTCGCGAGGCTGCACGGTATTGTATCTCGTACCCTCGCATTGGTCCGAAACCCGTTCCTGCCTTCGTTTCACTAACTTTCCAATGTCGCAGCGCGCTCGTGCTAAACGCGGCATGAACGACGTCCAGACAGGATGAAGCTGAGGCCGTGATGTTCGCAACATGCCTCAAAGCACACGTCCGGAGACAGCAGGACGCCAGCTGTCCCGCTCGCTGCAGACTCAGCTGCTCTTACGCATCCACCCAGCGTTATCCAGCGCCCGCCACCCGCACCAAAAATAGAGCTGAAGGACACGTCGCGCTTCCTCCTCATACACCTTAACAACGCTGCAGCGCTCGCGCCTCTGACGTTCTCCGAAGCATGGTCATCGCGCCTGCTCGCCGCGCCGCGGGGCGTCGCCGGCTGACCCCGCAGCGCACATTACTGTGACCTACGCGTGCTGAGAGTCGCCGTCGACGCGTCTAGATCTGCTCCGGCTCGCGCTGGAGCACTATGCTGCTGGCCGGCGAGTCGCTGGTCCGGCGACTCGTCCTCCCTGCGGCGAAGCAGCGGGGCGTCAGTGGCGCGGGGCGGCGTTAGTGGCGCGGAGCGACGTTCGTTAGCGACGCGGAGCGACGTCAGTGGCGCGGAGCGGCGTTGCGACGCGGAGCGGCGTCAGTGGCGCGGAGCGGCGTTGGTGACGCGGAGCGGCGTCAGTGGCGCGGGAACGGTGTTGGTGACGCGGAGCGGCGTTAGTGGCGCGAGTTGCATCAGCGGCGCGAAGCGGCGTCAGTGGGCGTCGGTGGCGAGGGGCGGCGTTAGTGGCGCACAACAGCGTCATTGTCGGGAGCGCGTCAGTGGCGCAAGGCGGCGTCAGTGGCGCGGAGCGGTATCAGTGGCGCGGAACGGTGTTAGCGGTGCGCGAAGCGGTATCAGTGGCGCACAGCGGTGTCATTGGCGCGGGATGGTGTCAGAGGCGCGGAGCGGTGTCCAGCGACGCGGAGCGGTGTCAGTGGCGCGGAGCGACGTTATATGGCGCGGAGCGCGTCAGTGACGCGCTCGCCGGCGGACTCCATGAACGATCGGCCGTAGTAGCGGTTACTCCCATGGACTGCCTCCCCCACCCTGATTTGTAGCGTAAATTCAGCGACGCAACTTTACCCATGCGGCCCGGGTTTGTCCATCTCCGCTACACTCCGCCAAGGGTGCACTGAGTGTCCACGGCGAGCGCAAACTGAGCCGTCTCGTCAAACTGAGTCACCGTCTCGCAATACGACGACGCAGAGATCGGCAAATGACTCGCAGTGTCGTCAAGGGCGGGACAAGATTTGAGAACGCCCATTTGGGCATTGTTTGTCATAAACGTGTCTTTTATTTGGAGTTGCTGTGTGGGCGCGATAATTACCGCCCCAACGCTTAACTTGACAACCAAGCGCTGCCCTTGTGGTTGGCGGAAAGAATTGGCAACCAAAATGACTGCCTGCCGCGAGATGACCTACTGTGAACCGAAGTCAGCCGCCCCAGCAGGTGAACTCGGCTCTGCTCCCTCCTCTGTTTCCAGCGCACGTACGCCAGCAGCAGCTGCAGCCCGCAGCAGACAAACAGCAGCAGCGCCTGTGGACGCGTGACACGTCAGTGGTCCGCGAACAGCAGCTGCTGCTGTTCACAGCGCACAAACGGTCTCAGTGCCCGCAGTGCGTGC